AGAGAGAGAGAGAGAGAGAGAGAGAGAGAGAGAGAGAGAGATATGAATGATAAGGGGAGGTTAATAAGTGTAGATGGGGGTACATTAAATTGAAATTCATGTTATGAAATAGTAAAGAGTCCAATATGTCTAGGAATGATGAGTTGCTTTCTAACTCATAATTGTTGATGTTATGTGGGGTACACACCACAACATTCAATATTTGGAATTAATGACTCTCATGCCTCAACTCCTTTTTTTAATATATTTTCAAATCTTATTTAACATTTTTAATCACTTTTAGATTTTCTTTTTATCAAACACACATTAACATATTTTCTTTTCTCCAACAACAAGTTTTTATTATATCCTGTATAACAAACGCACCATTACATGAGTCAAGCGAACAATCAAGACTCATCGTTTCTTGAAGTCCCACTCAATGTCTTGAGCAACGACGTCACTCGAGTGAACCCAACAAGTGAAAGGCCAAGATTTTCGAATAAAGACCGAACCAAAGCAATGTACAACTTCTATTGCATGATGTACAAGTGATTATAAAGTGATGATGAGAATGAGTAGGTGCAAGGATATCTGGATTTTTAATAGTAGGAAATATGTACACACCAATCATGTTATCCTCAAATTGTGTGGTCCCACATCCAAATCGCATGGGGGAAGACACAATATACGCATCATGACTCATGACTAAGCTTAGATTCTAAAAGCAAACCATCCAAATCCAAATAAATTTAAAAACAAAATAATAATAATAATAATAAAAAACAAAAGAAAAACACCAACACCAATTCCCACATTGTCCCCCTTCCATTCCTACATCAAATCTCACTTTAATCCAACAAAATCATTCCCACCATCTACATCTTTCACCCCCTCAAGGGCGATTCCGTAATTTCACCATCTAGGATGGTGGGTGTCGAGCGGCCGATGGGGGATGATGGTGGCTCTAGGGAGGAACGGGTTGTTTTGCTTTTGGTGGTTGGTGGTCATCGAGCCATGGTGGAGCGCTTTCGGAAGACTGGTCGAACCGAGCGCAGAAGATGTGGCGGCCGCCGCGGAGGAGGACGACGAAGAGGACGAGACGGCTACACGCTCGCATTGAGGACACATCGTCAAGGTGGTTGGAGGGTTCATGTTCATGTAAAACTGCGGAGATAGTTTCAGGGCTCTGAGCTCGTTGACCTCCTTCTGCAACCGTCTGTTTTCCTCCGTCAGTGTATCGCAACAACGCTTCAAGTACTCGCAATCCACCTCCGTCTGCTTCAACTTCGTCCTACAACATCCGAAACCTTTTTAAAACCAATTCGATCCATTTAAACCCTATACACATAAACTAAAAAATTGGTTTGACTATTTGTCAAAGATCTTACATATCCTTCAATAAATACCATTCACTCTCAAAAAGACCATTTTGCCCTCATGGTCAAACCTACCATCTTAAAAGGTCAAACTTGTCATCATCCAAGATTGGTCAAAATTCAAATTACAATATGCCACACACTAATTTTCTTGAAAAGATAAACTCATAAGTAGTAAAGGAGTTGACTTTATGTCAAAATAAATTTGGTCCATGACTAATAAAAGCCATCATAATTAATGACATCTCATACCCTTTATTGGTTACTAATTGGAAATGGCAAAAACCCACCAAATATGTTCAACCAAATGTACAACTCATGATGCATGTACTACAAATCCCCCCATGTTGTCCAAGTACCACAGTACTTGTAAGTCAATTCTATCCACTTGTACCCCATGCATTGATACTTGTACTTCATATCAGATTTCAAATTTTTTATAGTACCATGACTTGTTATTAAACCAAACCTCCACGGTAAAAATACATGTGAAGGTTCAGTGTCTCTGTCTTCTGTATCTTTCACAGTGTTTTTGCTGTAAATGCCGTAAATGTTAAGTGTTTTTTCTAAAGTGGTGCTACAAATGCCAAAATTTTAGGGTTTGTAGGGTACAAGTCATAATGCATGAGTTGTACTTTGTCTATAATTCTACAGTCTTATAGAAAAAAGTAAGATTAGTAGTACTATATGGATTAATGATAGAACCCCACATAAAGACAATCCATGCATTGTGAGGTTGTACCTTAAATATGTGAAATTACGAAAATACCCTTGAGAAAAGGAGTGAAAATTCCCACCTTGCCCTTCTGTTTTGAAACCAAACTTCCACCTGCCTTGGCCTCAGATCCAGCTGTTTCGCTAATGCCAGTTTTTGCTTCTAATAAATTGAAAACAAAAACCAAAAAAATGGAAACAAAAAAAACAAAAACAGAAAAAACAGCTCATCAGCACAGTCTACAAGGAACTGAAAATGCCATTGGGTTTTGGTTGAAATTACGAAGATGCCACTCACCGGATTCAGGGTGTTGTGCTCTTTGAATGTTTCTTCGAGCACCGCCGCCTGGTCTTTGGATAGCCGGAGTTTTTTCCTCGCCGCCGATGCATCTCCGCCTTCCTCCTCCTCCTCGCCGCTGATTCCGTGAGAGCTTGATTCTCGCTCCGCCTCGTTCTCCTCTCTCTCGATTCTCTTCCCGCTCACGCTCGACACTGTGCTGTTCGGCGACGAAACCAATGCTTCGTCGTCGCGTTCCGCCGTTAGGGCCACCAGAGCCGACGTCGACGGCGGCCGGTTAACGTCGATTCCGCGAGCGTAGGATCTTGTTTCCGCATTCAGATCTGCATTTCCGATCAAACAGCGAAAAACTCGTGAGATTTTTGGATTTTTCTCGAACAAATTTGGATGAATCTGTACTTGTACGCGTGCGTGTGTGCGTATGATCGCCTTATCTCGGCATGTGTAACTTCACACATTACGCGTATCAACGTTTTGTATAACATGCACCGAAATTTGTGCTTAAACATCAACAGAAGGTTTTTTCTAACGATCTAATCAAAATCACAGTTACAACAAACAGTCCGGTTAGCATCACATGCATTAAGTTGTACAGCATACACCGAGACTCGTACTCACCAGGAGGAGGAAGTGCAGGCGGAAGAGCATGATTGATCATGAACGATAGCTTCTGATGATTCGAAACATGATGATGACGTTGTTGAACGAATGACAAAGGTGGAGACGGCAACAGATTCAACGGAAATCGTGTAACGCCGCTGGAACTAGCGTCCACCGGCGGCGGTGGTGGTGGTGGATAATTTTCCGGACATTTCAAGCTCAAACTCAAGCCTAATCCATCATCCTTCTCACCCATTTTCTCTCTCTCTCTCTCTAAAACCCTTCTTCTCTCTCTAAAAATCGTTGATGGGATTTGGCAGAGGGACAAAGTAGAGTGATTCTAAATGGGTTTTTGGTTTTTTCACTGCCTTTTATTTCTCTTTAGCTGTTTCAGAGCTTAATTCACTGTGCACTACACAGAGAAAACACCAACACCACCTATATGTCTACATATATATATACATACACAGATTATATATCTATAGGATGAGAGAGAGAGAGAAAGAAAGGGTGGTGATATGTGCAATCATGAAATGTGTCAGGGATGGCTCTATTGGCACAATGATGATGATGGGATTGAGCTTTGGCTTTTGCTTCAGCTTTTGCATGGAGGAGAGAGAGAGAGAGAGAGAGATTAGGAATTGGTAAAACTAAATGCCAGTAAATCATTTATACATGACAAGAATTGCTAAATCCAGACCAGCTATGCTTTGGGAAGTTGTACTTTGTGGTTTATGTATTGTAACATGGTGTGGAATTGTGAATATTGGATCTGGAAAAGTGGTGATTTATTCTAACTGTAGTTGAGTTAGGTTGACTGAAGCTTGGGTATAAACTTTCCTTTTAGCTAGTGTAGTCACTATCCCCTTTCTTCCTGAATAAAAATGATGAAATAAATAATTTAAATACAAAAAAGACAAATTTTCTCACGCCCAAAATTGGAATATATTTTACCCCATTTTTATTTAATTAACTATTTTTAAATTTTAATTTAATGTATTTAATAATAAAAACAGTTATTAACTTCTAATATTTCCTTACAAAATTA